AGGCCGACAGGGCGCCACACACCGCTGCGGGCAGAGCGGACAGGGGCGACCGGCCTGGTGCCGTGCTTAGCTGTGTTTTAGTAGCCTCAGAAGCTGCAAGGCAGGGGTTTTTTTTTTGTATGGCTCTGTACCTTCTTGTTTGCTGGTATCCCCAGCCTCGTTGTGTGCCTTTTACATTGCTTTATAAAAGCAGTGTTTTTCTCCGTAAAAAAAATGTACAGATACTAATACTACTATTTTCTATAGACATAATCAAATTTAGAATTGTCAGACTAATTGAGGAGCTTGACTTATATTTTTTTTGGACGGCAGGAGCATCATTTGACTAGATTCCTAGAGAAGCTAGCTTGTCCAAAATCTCCAATAGAACCAGAGGGCAGCTCTCGACGAGATGACAGAACCCACTGGTCTGCACGACAGCACCAAGCATGCCCCGCGAAGCTATGAATCCAAGACAAGCATTCTTGAGCTGCATGCAGCGGCGCTGCTCGGCTAAAGCCAAAGTAGTCGCCACCGTGTCCGCGTCGATGCTACGGCACATCCCCACCTCGCACATGAGCCTCAGCGTGTCCAGCCCACACCGATCCGCGGCCACCAGCAGGTGCTGCATCGGCACATTCCTGTCCTTGTCGCCGTCGGTGGCAACGCCACCGCCACCGTCCGGCCGAGTGTCCGTGTACACGAAGTGAAGCGGCGCCGCCGAAGATGGAAGGCTCCATGTCGTCGACCTTGACGCGCGCTGCGGCCTTCTCCTTCATGGGGCGAAGAGCCCCGCCCTCGACACCGCGGACCTCGCGGCGAAAGCACGCACCGGTGTGCGGGAGCGACCGCCCGCCACGACGAACGTCACGCCCACGCCGTCCCCCCGCCCGAGCATGCTCGCCAGTCCTGCAGCACGCTGGGCTCCGAGACGGCGATGGCGCTCACGCCCTCGACATGGGGGTCTTGGATGACGGTCGGGACGCACCTGACCGTGAAGCGGTCGTTGTTGTTGCGCACCATCCTTCGGAAGAGGCAGGATTTATATATGAATGTGGGCCAGCCCTCGCCTCCTAATGCAAAGGCCTTTGATAAGATAATTTTATTGCAATGTATTTGTGTATCTTATTATATACCATGCCATGCTAAAAAAATATTGTTAAATTTATTTATGTAATTATGAACACTTTAAACCGTGCATAATATTACTCCAGATCTAAGATAGACAACTATGCTCTGCACTTTAATCTTTTTTTCGCTAGGGGCACTTAACATTGTTAAGTGGCGAAATAGACGGAACGCCATACAGCCAGATTCGTTTTCGGGCCTTATATAGGGGTGCTTGGGACTATTTCGCTCCAGCTCCGTGTTGCCAAACACCCCGACTCCGAGAACTCCGCTCGAGAAAAAGGTGGAGCTAGAGGCTAACTCCACGTTTTTTTCTGTGGTACGTCAAGAGGTACTCCAGATTATTGGAGCTTTGTACTCTCACAAGTTATAGGATAATTACCCACCTTGCCACTCGTTAATCACCGATTAGTTTCCCTGATTGCGTCCCCTACCCGACGCGTGAAGGTCATGAGCCATGACTCTTCCGAGATACGCAAATAGGAGGCTACTGCTCCCGTTTTCATCCACGTACAAAGCGATTGGTACTTGGAAACCGATCAAAAGTCCTAAAAAATAAAAAATATATGGAAAAATATTAACAATCCTTGGAAAAAGTAATAATCATTAATAAATCAGCAAACGAATCCCAGAATCTTTAAACTTTAAAAATTAATTAAACTATTGTAAGACCATTTAAAAGTTAAAACCGAACTACTAAGTGCAATTTCAATCAGGGGCATAATGGGCCATTTGCATGCAAATAACCTATTTCGGGAGCTAGAGCTAGGTGTGTACCACCCGCTCCACAAACTCCAGTTTGAGTTGCTCCATGATGGAGTAGCCGGCCCGTGGAAGGCCGACGTACGCACACCAGAGACACGAGCGACGACAGTACACCGCCCAAAGACCGAGGCGGTGTACACGGAAGGTGCGTGTGTCCGCTCCGGTGTCACGACGCAGAGAGGACAGGGCGAAGCGGCTCGGTGCGTGCTTGATCGCCGCTCGGCACGGGGCAAGCGCCGCTCAGATAAGCACGCCTTTGGTTCGGGCACTGAGCCAGTAGCGCCGCTTCTTCCCCATCGATCAAGCCCGTCTTTGCACGACGCAAAGAAAGACCGATGCCCGACGAACGCACAAACACAGAGAGAAGGGCGACACAACGGCACTTGGAAGCTCCTCTCCGGCAAGGAGTCCGCGTACACGGGCGAAGCCTCTCGATCACGACGGCTCCATGTCTCGACCCGGACGCACCCGTGGCGCTCTCCTCCATGGCGCCAAGAGCTGCGCCCTAAACACCCGGGACGCCTTGGCGAAAGCACGTACTGTGGGCGAGGAAGAACGGTCGCCGATCTTTGATCGTCACGTCGGCTGCCTCAGCAAGATGCGCTGAAGTCCGGTGCAGGTCCGACGGGCGGCGGGCGCCGCCACGGTCGCCGCGTCTTCCGTGGCGATGCAAGCACACGACGGTGACGGCGCACCGGATTGTGAAGCCGTCGCGGCGCAGCTCTTTTAGCTTGGATTTTCGATGAAATTACGCCTGCCCCTCGTTGTTATGGTGCCCTCGTGTCCGTGTCATAGGTTCTTGTGTCCGTGAAGACGGTTCTTGCGATTTGGCACTTTGCTTGTTTATTTCCTTGTCCTGCTGATCTGTTCTTCCTTTTCCTTCCTTCCCCGACGACGGCGCTTTGATCGTCTTTATCGACCAAGTGAGCTTATATTGAACTTAACCCTCACACCCGTTGGTCCGTCAAGAAGACTCAAACGCGCCGTCGTAGGTAAGCAGCAGCTTTCGTCGTCCTTTGGACAACCGTCGCCGCCGGGGAAGAACTTGATGCTCCATCCGTAGCCGCCGACGAAGAAGGTGCCCGAGGTGACGAGTCGCCGGCGTCCATGTCATCGAAGCGTGGCGAGAAGTCGGTCACCAAGTTGTGCGTCCCCGTGATGGCCTGCGTCCGGGATGTCGACCACGTTTTCGGTAACACCTGGTGGTTGTCGACCGATGTCGAATTACTAGGCCTGTAATTAGCCATGGCCGCGCACGATTTTTTCCAGCTAAACCTTCAACACACACGCCGTTCATGGTGGTGGTGGTCGATGTCCTCTTATATACCTGCAAATTCGGAAAATACTATTCTACCGAACTAGGACTCCGAGACCCTTTGGAATACTGAGGTAAAGAATCGAGTCGTTACCGGACATGCATGCTAAGCTGTTGACCAACCAGAAAATATGGAGAATTGTAACAGGACATGTTAATTTTGGGTTCTGATGATGATAACCGTCCATGGTGGAACATGCACCGCCGTGCTGGAGATTACCAAACGATAATGCTTGGCCCGCGGCGCGTCCGCCCCATCCGGACGACGCCGGCGCCTCGATCCGCCCTCGCTGCTTTCTCCCACGGGCCTAGGGCGGACACTCCGTGCACAAACCTTACCGATTACCAAAACCAAAAATTTAAAATTACAAGAAACTGCTTGCTTGAGCAGATATTACATCAACTAGATATATGCACATGCGTTGCACCGGGACCACATTTTTGTTTGGATTGAACCTCGTAATCGGACACGGATGCGTGAGTTCTAAGAACTTCGTATCATCGCGTGGACACGTTGATCCGATCTTCGTAGTAGAACCGGGTAGGACGCGAACATGCGAGCTTCGAGTGCAGGTTGATTCATATTGGATGCGGACGCGTAAGCAGGACTCAAAACTTGGTATGACTGGGTATACGATGACGTTACAGTATGCTTAGGTGTAGGGATTCATTGAGCTTTTATTAAGTTGGTATATTTTAAATCTCTTAGTTTTAAATGGCGAGATCAGAAAATCTAATCGTCTCTTCGAGGTGCTCAAAAGGGTAGGACATGTGTGCGTGTGTTCGTAGAGATGGGTGTACGGACATGTACGAGCATCTTGATACGATCATTTTTTGGGCAAGCGATTCGTTATTTCATCGTTGCACGGTTGTATGAGCAACACAATATGGCAGAGTTTATTTGCATGGAATATAAAATACAATAAAAATAGAATATTTTACTTGCATGGAATATACAATACAGCTAAAATTATACACAAAGTAACAAAGATATAGGCCTTGAGCTGGCTATCCTACTCACGTGCACCATCCAAGTTCAATGGCTCAGATTTCTCTATTTTTATTGTATTTCTGATTTTATTTTTGAAGGAAAATGTGGTATATGACGTAAGCATGATGCCATGCTGTCGTCACGCTGCAGAGCAGAGCAGAGAGCACGGCATTCGGGCGGCGCGGCACAGCTGCGCGCACGCACGCACGCGCGCGCGGAGGCGGCCTCTAAACGGCCGACGGGTAGCTGTCGGCTTCTGAGTAGCCGATAGGACTAGTCGGCCCGTGGAAGGCCGACAGGGCGCCACACACACACCGCTGCGGGCAGAGCGGACAGGGGCGACCGGCCTGGTGCCGTGCTTAGCTGTGTTTTAGTAGCCTCAGAAGCTGCAAGGCAGGGGTTTTTTTTTGTATGGCTCTGTACCTTCTTGTTTGCTGGTATCCCCAGCCTCGTTGTGTGCCTTTTACATTGCTTTATAAAAGCAGTGTTTTCTCCGTAAAAAAAAATGTACAGATACTAATACTACTATTTTCTATAGACATAATCAAATTTAGAATTGTCAGACTAATTGAGGAGCTTGACTTATATTTTTTTGGACGGCAGGAGCATCATTTGACTAGATTCCTAGAGAAGCTAGCTTGTCCAAAATCTCCAATAGAACCAGAGGGCAGCTCTCGACGAGATGACAGAACCCACTGGTCTGCACGACAGCACCAAGCATGCCCCGCATGAAGCTATGAATCCAAGACAAGCATTCTTGAGCTGCATGCAGCGGCGCTGCTCGGCTAAAGCCAAAGTAGTCGCCACCGTGTCGCGTCGATGCTACGGCACATCCCCACCTCGCACATGAGCCTCAGCGTGTCCAGCCCACACCGATCCGCGGCCACCAGCAGGTGCTGCATCGGCACATTCCTGTCCTTGTCGCCGTCTGTGGTAACGCGCCACCGCCACCGTCCGCCGAGTGTCCGTGTACACGAAGTGAAGCGGCGCCTCGAAGATGGAAGGCTCCATGTCGTCGACCTTGACGCGCGTTGCGGCCTTCTCCTTCATGGGGCGAAGAGCCCCGCCCGACACCGCGGACCTCGCGGCGAAAGCACGCACCGGTGTGTGGGGCGCGACCGCCCCGCCACGACGAACGTCACGCCCACGCCGCCCGCCCGAGCATGCTCGCCAGTCCTGCAAGCACGCTGGGCTCCGAGACGGCGATGGCGCTCCACGCCCTCGACATGGGGGTCTTGGATGACGGTCGGTCGACGCTTTTGACCGTGAAGCGGTCGTTGTTGTTGCGCACCATCCTTCGGAAGAGGCAGGATTTATATATGAATGTGGGCCAGCCCTCGCCTCCTAATGCAAAGGCCTTTGATAAGATAATTTTATTGCAATGTATTTGTGTATCTTATTATATACCATGCCATGCTAAAAAATATTGTTAAATTTATTTATGTAATTATGAACACTTTAAACCGCATGCGCAATATTACTCCAGATCTAAGATAGACAACTATGCTCGCACTTTAATCTTTTTTTCGCTAGGGGCACTTAACACCGTTAAGGGGCGAAATAGACGGAACGCCATACAGCCAGATTCGTCGCGGGCCTTATAGGGGTGCTTGGGACTATTTCGCTCCAGCTCCGTGTTGCCAAACACCCCTGACTCGAGAACTCCGCTCGAGAAAAAAGGTGGAGCTAGAGGCTAACTCCAATTTTTTTTTTACGTGGTACGTCAAGAGGTACTCCGATTATTGGAGCTTTGTACTCTCACACGAAGTTATAGGATAATTACCCACCTTGCCACTCGTTAATCACCGATTAGTTTTCGATGCGCCCCCTACCCGTGACGCTGTGAAGGTCATGAGCCATGACTCTTCCGTGAGATACGCAAATAGGAGGCTATCGCTCCCGTTTTCATCCACATATAAAGCGATTGGTACTTGGAAACCGATCAAAAGTCCTAAAAAATAAAAAATATATGGAAAAATATTAACAATCCTTGGAAAAAGTAATAATCATTAATAAATCAGCAAACGAATCCCCGTAATCTTTAAACTTTAAAAATTAATTAAACTATTGTAAGACCATTTAAAAGTTAAAACCGAACTACTAAGTGCAATTTCAATCAGGGGCATAATGGGCCATTTGCATGCAAATAACCTATTTCGGGAGCTAGAGCTAGGTCATGTACCACCTGCCCACAAACCTGTGTTTGAGTTGCTCCATGATGGAGTAGCCGGCCCGTGGAAGGCCGACGGCGCCGCACCAGACACCGAGCGAGCGACGGTACACCGCCCAAAGACCGAGGCGGTGTACACCGGAAGGTGCGGTGTCCGCCCGGTGTCTCACGGAGAGAGAGGACAGGCGCGAGCGGGTCTGCGTGCCGTGCTTTGATCGCCGCCGCTCGCTCGGGGCAAGCGCGCGCTCGAGATAGCACGCCTTTCGGTTCGGCACTGAAGCTGGTAGCGCCGCTTCTTCCCCATCGATCAAGCCCGTCTTTGACGTAAGAAAAGACCGATGCGAGCGAACGCACAAACACAGAGAGAAGGGCGACACAACGGCACTTGGAAGCTCCTCTCCGGCAAGGAGTCCGCGTGACATCGCGTGCGAAGCCTCTCGATCACGCGACGGCTCCATGTCCTCGACCCGGACGCACCCGTGGCGCTCTCCTCCATGGCGCCGAAGAGCTGCGCCCTAAACACCTCGGACGCGGCGGCACGCACTGTGGGCGAGGAAGAACCGGTCGCCGGCGTTGATAAATCACGTCGGCGGCCTCCGGCATCGCTGCTGAAGTCCGGTGCAGGTCCGACGGCGGCGCGCCGCCACGGTCGCCGCGCTTCCGTGCGATGCTTCACGACGGTGGTGGCGCACCGGATTGTGATGAAGCCGTCGGCAGCTCTTTTAGCTTGGATTTCTCGATGAAATTACGCTTGCGCCTGTTGTTATGGTGCCTCGTGTCCGTGTCATAGGTTCTTGTGTCCGTGAAGACGGTTCTTGCGATTGGTAATCGCTTGTTTATTTCCTTGTCCTGCTGATCTGTTCTTCCTTTTCCCTTCCTTCCCGACGACGGCGCTTGATCTGTTTTATCGACCAAAGCGAGCTTATATGAACTTAACCTCACACCCGTTGGTCCGCCAAGAAGACTCAAACGCACGTCGTGTGTAAGCAGCAACCTTGCCGTCCTTTGGACAACCGTCGCCGCCGGGAAGAACTTGATGCTCCATCCGTAGTCACCCGCCGACGAAGAAGGTGCCCGAGCTGACGAAGTCGCCGGCGTCCATGTCATCGAAGCGTGGCGAGAAGTCGGTCACCACGGTTGTGCGCCCCGTGATAGCTGCGTCCGGGATGTCGACCACGTTTTCGGTAAACACTGGTGGTTGTCGACCGATGTCGAATTACTAGGCTGTAATTAATTAGCCATGGCGCGCACGATTTTTTTCCAGCTAAACCTTCAACACACACGCCGTTCATGGTGGTGGTGGTCGATGTCCTCTTATATACCGCAAATTCGGAAAATACTATTCTACCGAACTAGGACTCCGAGACCCTTTGGAATACGGGGTAAAGAATCGAGTCGTTACCGGACATGCATGCTAAGCTGTTGACCAACCAGAAAATATGGAGAATTGTAACAGGACATGTTAATTTTGGGTTCTGATGATGATAACCGTCCATGGTGGAACATGCACCGCCGTCTTTGGAGATTACCAAACGATAATGCTTATTACGGGCGTCCGCCCCCATCCGGACGCCGGCGCCTCATCCGCTTCGCATTGCTTTCTCCCACGGGCCTAGGGCGGACACTCCGATGCACAAACCTTACCGATTACCAAAACCAAAAATTTAAAATTACAGCAATCGCTTGTTTGAGCAGATATTACATCAACTAGATATATGCTCGTGCGTTGCACCGGGACCACATTTTGTTTGGATTGAACCTCGATAATCGGACACGGATGCGTGAGTTCTAAGAACTTCGTATCGACGTGGACACGTTGATCCGATCTTCGTAGTAGAACCGGGTAGGACGCGAACATGCGAGCTTCGAGTGCAGGTTGATTCATATTGGATGCGGACGCGTAAGCAGGACTCAAAACTTGGTATGACTGGGTATACGATGACGTTACAGTATGCTTAGGTGTAGGGATTCATTGAGCTTTTATTAAGTTGGTATATTTTAAATCTCTTAGTTTTAAATGGCGAGATCAGAAAATCTAATCGTCTTTCGAGGTGCTCAAAAGGTAGGACATGTGCGTGTGTTCAGAGAGATGGGTGTACGGACATGTACGAGCATCTTGATACGATCATTTTTGGGCAAGCGATTCGTTATTTCATCGTTGCACGGTTGTATGAGCAACACAATATGGCAGAGTTTATTTGCATGGAATATAAAATACAATAAAAATAGAATATTTTACTTGCATGGAATATACAATACAGCTAAAATTATACACAAAGTAACAAAGATATAGGCCTTGAGCTGGCTATCCTACTCACGTGCACCATCCAAGTTCAATGGCTCAGATTTCCTCTATTTTTATTGTATTTCTGATTTTATTTTTGAAGGGAAAATGTGGTATATGACGTAAGCATGATGCCATGCTGTCGTCACGCTGCAGAGCAGAGCAGAGCAGAGCACGGCATTCGGCGCGGCACAGCTGCGCGCACGCACGCACGCGCGGAGGCGGCCTCTAAACGGCCGACGGGTAGCTGTCGGCTTCTGAGTAGCCGATAGGACTAGTCGGCCCGTGGAAGGCCGACAGGGCGCCACACACCGCTGCGGGCAGAGCGGACAGGGGCGACCGGCCTGGTGCCGTGCTTAGCTGTGTTTTAGTAGCCTCAGAAGCTGCAAGCAGCAGTTTTTTTTTTGTATGGCTCTGTACCTTCTTGTTTGCTGGTATCCCCAGCCTCGTTGTGTGCCTTTTACATTGCTTTATAAAAGCAGTGTTTTCTCCGTAAAAAAATGTACAGATACTAATACTACTATTTTCTATAGACATAATCAAATTTAGAATTGTCAGACTAATTGAGGAGCTTGACTTATATTTTTTTGGACGGCAGGAGCATCATTTGACTAGATTCCTAGAGAAGCTAGCTTGTCCAAAATCTCCAATAGAACCAGAGGGCAGCTCTCGACGAGATGACAGAACCCACTGGTCTGCACGACAGCACCAAGCATGCCCCGCGAAGCTATGAATCCAAGACAAGCATTCTTGAGCTGCATGCAGCGGCGCTGCTCGGCTAAAGCCAAAGTAGTCGCCACCGTGTCGCGTCGATGCTACGGCACATCCCCACCTCGCACATGAGCCTCAGCGTGTCCAGCCCACACCGATCCGCGGCCACCAGCAGGTGCTGCATCGGCACATTCCTGTCCTGTCGCCGTCCGTGGCAACGCCACCGTCACCGTCGGCGAAAGTGTCCGTGTACACGAAGTGAAGCGGCGCCTCGAAGATGGAAGGCTCCATGTCGTCGACCTTGACGCGCTGCGTTGCGGCCTTCTCCTTCATGGGGCGAAGAGCCCGCCACCGACACCGCGGACCTCGCGGCGAAAGCACGCACCGGTGTGCGGGAGCGACCGCCCGCCACGACAACGCGTCACGTCCACGCCGTCCCGCGCCCGAGCATGCTCGCCAGTCCTGCAGCACGCTGGGCTCCGAGACGGCGATGGCGCTCACGTCCTCGACATGGGGGTCTTGGATGACGGTCGGGACGCACCTGACCGTGAAGCGGTCGTTGTTGTTGCGCACCATCCTTCGGAAGAGGCGGATTTATATATGAATGTGGGCCAGCCCCGCCTCCTAATGCAAAGGCCTTTGATAAGATAATTTTATTGCAATGTATTTGTGTATCTTATTATATACCATGCCATGCTAAAAAAATATTGTTAAATTTATTTATGTAATTATGAACACTTTAAACCGCGTGCATAATATTACTCCAGATCTAAGATAGACAACTATGCTCGCACTTTAATCTTTTTTTCGCTAGGGGCACTTAACACTGTTAAGTGGCAGAAATAAAACGGAACGCCATACAGCCAGATTCGTTTTCGGGCCTTA